GCTTGGTATCTAATACAAACTATAAGTTACCTATACTGAATCTAGGTAGATATGCAATGATTGGCTCCTAGAGCCCCTGGTACCATGTACCAGGTCTCTCAAGAGTGACTGGGCACTCTTCATGTAACTTGGGTACACTTGGGGTATTGTACCCCGTTACAATCTGTGACAAAAAAGTAAATTGAAAATAAGATAAATGTGTCTCTGTTGTAAATTCTCTGGATATTTAAATCCAGAGTTTTAGGGGCGATCGGAAAGCGTCGACGATCCTGTCAAATAACATTTTTATGGATGTAATTATTTGAAACCTAAGAGCGAATATTTATAAGCTAAAATGACGCAGAAACTAATAAACTGTTTTCTTGTTTGCCCAAACGGGTGAATGTTGACCCAGTCGGCCTAAAACAACATTCAAACAACCTTGTACGAATGTGATTCAGTCACATTCAAGCTACCTTATGGCTTCAACTTAGGGACGGAGCAGTTAGTAAATATAATCACACAAATGTCATGCGTCCAGCTTCAGATATACATGCATCTCAATGCAGCACATGTACCCAACACTGGGATACGTTTGAAATTGATTTAGAGACGGCAAACATCAAATTCTCAACTAAGAAAAGTAAAAAGTCCCAGTGTCGCTGGCGAAGTGGGGGCCCATCCTTATTCGCGCTTCAGTTTCTTCCTATTGACAAATATTATAATATTAAATATTGAGTATCCAAATATCCAGCGCTTCCCGGGTGCAGCACGGCATTAGTTACAACAGAGACACATTTATCTGTGCCAATCCCAAAACTATATATGAGGCACCATTATTGTAGTTGCTGTTTAAAATTATTGTAGATACATTTATTTTTAAAAATGCATTTACAATAATTCTATTTTTTGAAATGACCTCGAGTGGGAGGAGGGCAAAAAATGAACCCACGTCCAGGATGCCCATTTGCCCAGAGGGTGGAACATCATCGAACTGACCAGTACCCAAATCAGACATCTTAAATCGTCGCTTTTAAATCCACCCGCAATACACTTTCTAATTAATTTCACTCGTAATTCTGCATCTAAAACGCTGTCCAACCATGCGACATGGATTACGCCATCTACCCTTTTTCCCAATTGCGTGACCCATTTCATTAAACGTTCAATCCATTTCAAGTCCGCCCGCATCATCAGTATCAAAACGAACCCTCGAACCACACAACACGATGCCAAGGTTCTGTGCTGAGTGTGGCGCCCAGAACACAGGCGGCAAGTTCTGCTCCGAGTGTGGCACGCGCTTCGCCGACGACAATGGCTCGCTGTCCTCCTCCTTCATGTCAAATTCCTCCGGCCCTCCCCCCGCTGTGCCAGTGGCCGCGTATCAAGGAGCTGCCACAGCCGTCGCGTCGGCCTTCCGCAGTGATAATTCGCCCTATGGAGGCAACACGTACCAGCACAACCCCCTCAAGAGCACCTTCAACGGGTCTCCGTCACAGCCTCCGCCCCCGCCCCCTCCTGCCCAGCCGTACGTGCGCAAATCGGTGCCCAGCGCCTTCCGCAACAGCTTCAACAACAACAATTCGCCTCCTGCTGCTATTCCCGTGGCCTCAGACCCTGTACCCCCCGCAGCTACGGGCGCAGAGGCTCAGCAATACTACGAGAGATGTGTAAGCACCATCCGAGCCTCAAAGGGGGGAAATAACGAGCAGGGCGTCAAGAACTTTAAGCAAAACTGCCGTAGATACGGACTCAAGGAGATGGACGTCCAGTCTTTCTATGCGTCGCTGGTAGTGGAGCTGGGGCCTGAAGGCACGCGCAGCTTCGTGCCGACACTAGCGAGACTGGTACCTGACGACGATCGACGGAAGGAGCTCGTGGATTATAACGCGCAACAGCGAGCGTCTGCCTTTAGTAGCAGTGGCAGTAGCACGGGCAGTCTCGATGGCAGACAATCGGCTTTTGCCAACAGAAACCCAAGCATGGCTGACTCGTTTCGCAGCGACTCGACTATGAGCAGCGCCAATGGCTCACAAAGCAAAGGAATCTTGAACAACCGCTATGCGGACCACCCGAACTGCGACGTGTGCAATGTCCGCTTTGATGTGACCAAAAGACGACACCAATGGTACGAAAAACAATTATGGTATGCGAATTTTATTTTATGATTACTAATATTTTT